GATAAAAATTATAATGCTGGTCAAAAATAATAGGAAGTAAATTTTCTATATTAAGATTTTGATAATTTGTATAAATAGCTTCTTTAAACAAATTCCATTCTTGTCTTAAACTATCTGCTTCAACTATTCCATTTGGATAATTTGGTAAATATGGTTTTTTATAGAACTCAATTAATTGTTCTAATTCTAATGTTTCATAATTTGTTAATTTGTTTTTATCTTTTGGCTATTCATTTGGATTTAAAATTTGCATAGCATCCAATAATCTAATCATTGGAAATCGACTCTTAATTTCATCAATTACTAAAGATGCAAAATCAAAAATATCACCCATTAAATTATTTTTGCAATCACTAGTATATTTTAATTTATGACTATTTATATATTGTTGTGATGATTTTGTTAATTCTAAAAATTTGTTGAGATGAATACCTAATTTTGGTTTTCTATCTGTATCAAGCTCCAAATATTCATCATATATTTTATTTATTGTTGCTTCAATTTTTGGATTAATATCAGAAAAACGTATATATCTATGTTGTAATGCTAAACATAAAGTTGCTAAATAACCTAATATATCATAAAGAAAATGAATAAAAGCTAAAGTTCTCCAATTACATATATTATTATATAATTCAATAGTTGATTCCTTAGTTTGTTTTTTTTCTGAAGTTTTATAAATTTCATAAAGTGAATCTAACAAGAGTTCAAGTGTTCTACAAAAGTTTTTAACTTCATATCTTGAAAGCCAATGAATTTTATGAAGTTGATGAATTTTAAGTTTAGGTGAATTAAGTAATTCTTGATAACTATATAAAATATCATATCTTTTTGGAGATTTATAAAAAAAAAGATAAGTTTTTTCTAAAATCAAATCTACATGATTGCAAAAATCTACTTGTTTTTGAGCTTTTTCACATGCTAATAATAATCTATATACAATACAATGAGTTACAAATAAATATAGATTATTTTTTGAAAACTGAATTGTAACTCCATTATTTTTGCCCATCATTACAGATGCACCATCAGATGCAAAAGCCATAATTTTTCACATAATTCTAAAATATAATATATATTATATAAGTTTATAAAATAAAAATAATTTAATTGTTAAACTACTTACTATGCTTATCAAATAAAGAATATATAGCATTATAAATTGATTTAGCATTTCCATGTTCTAATTGTAATAATTGTAAATATCTAACTTTAACAATTCCATATAAACAATATTTTACATAAACAATAATATGAGATTCAGTTGCAATATCAGTACTTTCATCTATTAAAATTCCAATTGCTGAAGAATTTTTTAATTCATTCCAAAGATCATTATCTATCAATATTGACATAGCTTCTAACATTTGTAATGCAGAATTATAATTAGCATAAGTAATATGACCTTCTTTTTTAATATAAGGAACTTCAATAAATTGAGCTAAATCTATAAAAGATTTAATTTTGTTTAAAGCAATATCTTCAGAAACAAGCCAAAAAATCATTTTCATCATTTGTAATACATGTTGATGTGCATTATTAATAGCATTATTTGATACAGTAACCATTCTAAGACTTGCTGCTTCTTTTTTATTAGCTTTATTATGTTGTTGACTTGCAGCATGTTCATCTAATACACTTTTTCTAAAATTATAAGAACCTAATAATAAAAATTAATAAAACTATAATTTAAATAAATAAAAGTAATACTTATTTTTTAATATAAAAATTTACTATTTCTATTATCTTTCTAAAAGCTAAATAACTAAAATATTAGTTATATAAGTAATTAATATATAAGTTATACTTCTAATAAATATATTTATATCTAACTATTATATATTTACTAGAATATTATAACAACTTATATAAGATATAGTAAATTTTTATAATATAAATAAATATTTTTTAAATAAATTATTAATAAATTTACCTTTATTTTTTTTACCAAAATCATTTTTTGGATTATGTTTTAAACATAAATTACAAAACATTTTTTGATGAACTTGATTATAGAATAACTATGGATATTGTTTTTCCCATTCTTTTTGATATATTGGTAGTTTTCTCTTAATAAATTTAACTTTTTTTTTGAAGTTAATCCAAGATAATGAGAAATTTTTTAACTTGACTTGTTGATGATAAAATTTTACTATCATTATTATCATTTGAATTATCAATTTCCATGTCATTAGAATTATTATCAGCAGACTCTATCTCAATAAAGTTATCAATAATTTCTATAGATTCATTACTATTTGTAAAAAAAATATTATTAATTAATTTATTATTATTAT